AGGAACACATGCAGGTAAGGTAGGTGACTACGTAGAAGCCATAACTAATGAGACTGCGCATGCTCAAACACATCTCTTACACTATCATGAGCGAACTATCCACAGTGCTCTACTTCTCTTCAAAATAATGTACAATGTGAGAAAAACATTTAAAACACTAAATAAAACTGTTTCATCTTTCAACTCATTATTTTTCTAACGCAATTCGGCGTACATAGAATGTAGGGGCTGCGAGCTAACAGCTAACGTTAGCTCAGAAGCTAACATTATCATCATGGTTCTCTGTTTACGAAATATGCAGACATTTAGGCGTGTTTTATTTTTTTTACCACAAGCCGAATTAACCAGAAAGACCTTCTCCAAAACAAGTGGAAACGGTGAGTAAAACCAGTAAAGACTCTGAATAAAGCAGTTTCACATTCGCCATAAGGTTAGGTTGACTGGATGTGGCTGCGAGCTAATGCTAACGTTAGCTCAGCTTGTTTTCAAAGATAAGTTCTAGAGGTTAGGAAGTGTTAACAGGGTGCCAAATGTGCATAAAGGTGTTCTCAGACACCTGTTGACTGAAACCCTTTATCTGGTTCAAATGTAAATTAAAATACGTCTTATGTCTTCAAAAGTGTAGCATAGCCTACAGTATATGTGGCTTAACATTTTGTTTAAAGTCCTTTATGACTGCTTACACATTAACAAGTTGAGCAAATGAAACTCCTTAATTCAAGATGTCTAGAGTTTACTGTTATTATATCATAACTCTACAAAAATATTTAACATAAGTCTAGTCTTTTTTCATACATTGTAATGCAATATTACATATAATTCCCTTAGCAGGAGACACTGAAATGCAACATGGCTTGAATAAAGAGGTTACATCAACCTAAACACTTTATAATGTAAGCAGGGACTGAAAGAGCAGCATAAAAATACATGAAATGTTTCAGGGAAGTTTAAACTATTGAAGCTGGATCATTCCCTCAAGAAAAAGAGGCAGGGAAGCTGCCATTTTTTAACAGGGTTTGGCCAGATATTGTTTTCACATGGACCTCCATGATCGTTCTTCATAGCTGTCAGGAATTAAGCTGTAAAAATGGAGCTGATAAATTATTGCTTTATAGATCACATCTCAACCCAACCCTCGTCCACAGAGATCTGCCATGTTGCACGGTGTCAGGCTCCTCAGCTGCTCAGCAGGACGATGATGTAGATGAGCAGCAGGCAGATGAGGATGAGGGTGAAGTTGACGAAGAGTTCCTGCAGGTTCCTCTTGGCCTGGGGAGTCACCTCGATCATGGATGCTCGACGTATGGCCGACTTGGTCATGTGCTGGACACGCTCCATGGGGACAGGTTAGATTTTGATTGATTTTTGTTAAGAAAGCAGAGATCTGGGTCAGGCTGCTGGGCCTGTTTGCAGCGAGAAACTCAGGCTGGTTTCAGGTGAAGTCAAACTGCTGCAGGTGAGCTCAGGTCAGGTGTTTTTGGTAGTCTAGCATAATACGGTTAAGTCCTTGTTAAGCCTCTTCTCTTCTCTCTGCTGCTGGAAAGACAAGATAAGATTAACACCATGAAGGGCCAAAAGTAGGATATTAATTACATTTAACACAGACAGTAAGAAAAGCATGTTAACGACATTCAATCTCACTTTGCCTTTGAATTTAACAAAAAAAATGAATCCCTTTAGCCCCCTCCTGTGGTAATGCCCCCTGTTGAGATGTTGTTTGACCTTCGTGTATCGCAGCACATGGTGTGATGATAACAGAGGCGCCAGTGGACGGCTGGTGATGTGTTGATCCAGACTCTTGTTGAGGCAGCAACACAATGTGACTGACTGAAGGTGTGCATTATGAAAAGACATGAAGTGAAACACGTACCTCATTTTGAGATTTTATTAAATCTAAAATAAAGCTTCTAGGCTAGTTATCTTTGTATCTGAAAGTAGTCAATCATTGCATAGGTAAGAAAAATACCCATTCTGATTTCTAAGTTATTTTTCCTGCGGATGTTGCTGAAACAAAGTGTGTTCTTTCACTGCTTGTAATATTAAAACTGCATTTACTATATTTTGTTCTCAGCACAGAGGGCCATTTAGTACCTTGTCAAAACTTTTCAAATCTATTTCTGTCATTTCACTTCAGTTTTTCCTCCACACTTGATCCACTTCTGACTCACCCATTATCACTTGACATGCTAGCACCTTAACACACACCCACGCACACACACCTTTTCAAACCTCTTGGGATAACTGTGGAAGAGTGCACGTCAGCTTTGAGACCTTAAACTTCCGACCTGACTGAAGTGTGTTCTCTGACACGCTGATTTTTTTTTTGGGTTTAATTCATAAGCCCTGGAGACTTAGACAGCCGCTGTGCATGTGAAATGAAATGCGCCGTAGTTTGAAATAGTGTAATCTGAAATTACCTGCATTTAGAGGCTTAGTTTAGTTTGATTTTCTGTTTGATCTTGAAGTGTTCACCCCCTGTCACATGTCTGTATTTGTTTCCTGTCTTTAGTTTCCCTCAGCATCAACAGAAGCTCAGACTTTCCAAAAAAACAATACATATCAGTCATTCCTGGCATATTATGAGGCCCCTGTCTAGCTTTTGTCCCCTGAATCAGAGAAATTGAGAGAAACCTCCTGTTTTTGGTGTCATTACTTTGAAACCTTTGGGGTTAAGGGACTGAGGTGTGTGTGAGTGTCATCCTCCACTCGTCCACACACATCAGCCACATCATTATGAGCCGAGTGCCGACTGTCAATCATTTCCTGTTTCCCTCTCTGTGACGAGTGCGCAAGTAATCCTCATTTCCACAAAAAAAGTGAAATGTTGACTGTAAATACTCCCAGGCTTTGTCATTTCTTAAAGCCGATGTTAAGTAGCCATTATAACAGATGTCACAACCCAAAGACCCCCAAATAAGCCTCTTATTACATCTGAAGAATGATAACCGTCACTCACTGTACGGAGGCTCAGTCACTGGTACACTTTTATCTATACAGCTATGTTGAGCAAACTCCCGTATTATATCTGTTCATTGATAAAGCAGAAAGTTGCAAGCAGCTATTGTCTGCGATCGCAGGATATATTCTTGTTAGATGTGCCAAGAGTAAGGACTGTCTTAGGTAAGACAGCTTTTATGTGCGCAGCTCCACTTGCTTGGAACAGTCTACAGGCAAAATTGAAATTGAGCATTTTTATTTCTCTGAATGTATTTAAGGCACGTCTAAATGAAATGCTTTCTGACACTCTGGGTATTTGTAAATGTTGAATATGTAAATATGATATCCTCTGTTGTTTGTTTGTTTGTTGTTTTTATGTTTCATGTGGAACTAAATGATGCAGGTCTCCCTTGTAAATGAGATCGATGATCTCAAGGGACCAATCTGTCTAAATAAAGGTTTGAAATGAAATGAAATTACAACATAAGTGTTAACCAAAAAGCATTTTTCCAAAGACATATGACTACGTTGAAAGTCATCCTGTAGATGTGACTGCCTTGTATCTTTAGCGTGCTGACCGATCTGAGCCCAACGCCCACAACTAAAACACATTCACTCAGCACACTCACAGATATGTTCACTAGCAGCTTTATACACAGTCAGACAATGACAACCTACACCAGTGCCCCCAGTTACGGAGACATAACAACTCCCAGATGCACCAAACGCACACTACCCACCACTAACAACAGGTTGAACCACTGTTAATGGAAAAATGCAGCTCGACCCCAGGGAGACAAGACTTGACTTGCCTCTGGAGTGGATCTGCCAGTAACTAATTTAAATTGCGCATTGTATTTTTAAAGTGCGGTGAAACTAAAGGAGCAGTCACTCAAAGCAGGTTGTGAGCGGTCCGTGCCGGAGAAAACTAGCCAGATGTAAAAGTCACACATTCTGGGTCATATGACAAAGAACAGGCACGTAAATGGCATCATAATGTCATGACTGCAAACGATGCTCCATAATTCAACTGAGACTAATGGCTTCACATGCGGTTTGCACGTTTTCATCTGTAACATTGAGTGGACAAGAAGAAAGTCAACTTTTTACCTGTTTTAGATATTGTATCAACGCAAGGAACAAAACTTGAAGTTGTTGCCTGTTACAAATACCTTGGTATCTTGCTTGATGACTGTCTCTCTTTTAAACTTCATGTCAATAACCTGCTTAAAAAACTGAGGGTTAGGCTAGGTTTCTTTTTCAGGAATAAGTCCTGTTTCTCGCTTGAGGCCAGGAAAAGGCTAGTCACTGTGACTTTTTTACCTG